TTGAATCCTCCAGAGGGTGGATCAAATTGTGGCTTTTATGGTGCAAGACAAGAATAGGATCAGACCTTGTGAAGGGAAGAGTGAGAATGTGTGGATAGGGTGGGTAGAGAAAGGTAAATAGAAGCATCAACTAACACCAGGATCTACAGAAGACCAACTAGTGATATGTGGGATTCTGTATGCTGTGACTATGTTTTATTATCATTGGTTAATAAAGAAGTTGTCTTAGCCTATGGCAAGGCAGAATATAGCTATGCAGGAAAGTCAAACTGACTACAGAGAGAAAGAAGATGAAGTCAGGGAAGATGCCAGCAGCTGCCAGAGTAACAAGATGTGAGATAACAACCCATGAGCTTCATGATAAAATATAAATAGAAATGGATTAATTTAAGATGCAAGAGCTAGTTAACAATAAGCCGGCTAATAGGCCAAACAGTATATAATTAATGTTAAGCCTATAAGCAGTTATTTTAAAAGCAATTGTGAGACCAGGCAGGATGAGAACCCTCCAGTTACAAACTAGCATCTTCCTTCACTGGAGAGAAACGGACAGCTGAGGTTTTCTGTCTCAAGTCATTTAGTCACTCTAGAAGACAGCTGCTCTGAGAGGGCTTGGCCTTAGGTGAGGCTCTCTGCAGCGGAGGCCAACCTAGGAGGTGCGGCAACTGTGAGTGTCTGCCGACCGCACTCCCTAGTGTGGGGTTGCTCGTGTTCCTAGAAAGGAAGGCGTGGGCGGGGCATCTGCATCCGTTGCAGATGTTCCTTCCAGGCCTATTTCTATCTTTGCTCGTGTCTTTAGGGATCAATTCCCAGGAATAGAACTCTGGAATAAACCATGCACATTTTAGCAACATTTGATATTTATTGTCAAGTGAGTTTCCAGGAAGACTGTGGCCAGTAGTCGAATTTTTCTTTGGGCTGTCAGCTCCCAAATAACAGCATGAAGACTTATTATGAAAGCTTGGCCTTAGCTTAGGCTTTTCCTACTAGTTCTTATAACTTAAATTAACCCATTTATTTTTATTAATCTGCATTCTACCACATGGCTTTTACTCTCTCCCATTCTTTGTGTCTGATTCTTCTGCATCTTCATGGCGTCCTTCATGAGCCTAGATTCATCTCTTACTTCCTCTCACTCTGCCCGGAAGTCCTGCCTATACCTCCTGCCTAGCTACTGGCCATTCAGCTAGTTATTAAACCAATTACATCTTCACACAGTGTTCAAATATCCCACAACAGTAGCCCCTTTCCTGCCAATGAAATGAACAGTGTGTTTCATCACTAATTCGTAGAAGAACAGGATAATTATATTGCATGTTTACCCATTTAACTTTTTGTCCCCCAAACAGGGACTTACTCTGTAGCCCAGGTTGGCTGTGAACTGCCTACCCCCTACAACAGCCTCCTGAGTGCCAGCACTACAATCATGGGTCACAATTCCCTCTTCTATGTGGCTAACTTTTCTTAGACAATAAAAATTTTTTGATGCCTTAACTTTATTTTATATTTATTTTTGTTTCTTCGAGGCAGGCTTTCTCTGTTGCTTTGGAGCCTGACCTGGAACTAGCTCTTATAGACCAGGTTGGCCTCGAAATCACAGCGATCCGCCTGCCTCTGCCTCCCGAGTGCTGGGATTAAAGGCGGGCGCCACTGCCGCCCGGCTGACGCCTTAACTTTAAAAAACTATTTAAACATTTATTTTATGGGTGTATGTCAATGTTTGTGTATGTGCACCATATGCATGCAAGATGCTTAAAGTTTTTATTATGTCTCTTTGTGTATGTATTTGTGTACATGATTTCTAGCACATGTGTGAAGGTTGGAAGACAACTTATGGGAATCTGTCTTCTCCTTCCCCATGTGGGCTCCAGGATCAAATTCAGGCAGCCAGGCTTGGCAACAAGCATCTTTATCTGCTGAGCCACCTCACTGACTGCAGGTATTTAATTGCCGTGAATTTTATCTTTAACTCCTAAGGTTAGGATCTTTCTCTATAAATCTGTATGCATCTTCTACAAAGATAAAACAGCTTAATATCTGAAATAATGAAACAAAGAACTGTGCTTACATGTTATGAGTTATGAACCTGCAACTTCAGGGAGTTTGAGGAATGGTTGGGGGCTGAGCTGACTTTAGACGGAGGTTTCAACACACAATAGCCTTGCCATATGTACATTTGAAGACATGAATGGCACTTCATTCAGTAGGAAAGTTCTGTATGTGAAAGACAAACGCACACAGAGGGAGAGGGCGCACCCAAAGGGACATGACCATAATTACAGAGTGCCTCCTCCATGCTAAGTATGCTCTTGGGCTTTTAAAGTCGTATTTACTATCTTATTTAATTATTACAAGATAATTCTTTTGAGATGTTACCATCCCACACTTTTGGATGGCAAAACCGAAGATCTGGTAACAGGTAACATAAGGTTACTCAGGTTCCCGGGTCTGTCATTTCCCATCCCGGGCAGTTGAGTCCTAAGAATAATATCAGGCTACAGAACATGTATTAGTCACCTTTTTTTTTTTTCCTGCGAGAAAACACTATGACGAAAACAATTATGGAAGAGTTGGTTTTGCCTTGCAGTTCCAGGGTATTAGAGCTCACAGCAGCTGGGGAGGGATGGCAGTAGGTAACCAGAGCAGCCATCTGGGAGGGCACATCCTCAACCACACCTAAAACACCAAGTGAACTGAAGTCCTAAACACTCAAAGCCAGCTCCCGGAGTCATACTTCTCCAGCAAGGCTGTGCCTCTTATAGCTCTGTTACCTCCCCAGAAAGCTGGGGACTAAGTGTTCAAGTGCTTGAGTCTGTGGGGTGCATTGCTCATTGATGCCATTGCCCCAGCAGATGCTTCAGATAGGATGCGCTTAATACAGTAAGCTTAATAGCCCTCTGTCCCACTGTGCTGGAACTACAGAGGCTCTGATGTCTCTAAGGATTTCAGTATTATATTTAGGATTATTCTTAGTGTAGTAGCTCATATCTGTAGTTTCAGCACTGAAGTGGCCAAGGCAGGAGGATTGCCGTGAGTTTGGGTCCATTCTAGACTACATAGTGAGGGCTTGTCTCAAAACAACAAATTCTTCTGTTCCGTTAAATGAAGCCGTCTAGCATTGTACTAAGTATTTATTTCCGTGTTTGCTACATGCAGAGAAGTTCTGGGCTTGAGAAAAGCAGAGAAATATCTTCTTCTTTTCTTCCGTCATCCACCCCTTTCTTGGGTTTGGCCTACTAAGGGTGTAGGCAGCACACAGAGATGGTCTGGTCAATGGTTTCCCACCGCAGCAGGAACAATTGCACCCCCGAAGCTTGTCAACCCACTGATTACAGCGGGTGCCAATACATAAGAAAAAAAAAAAAAAGGATTGAACCAAAATAAACCTGCGGAATAAACAGAAACTGTCACCCCAACCCAGATGGTCTTCATTCACAAGAGCAAATGAGTTCCAATCCAGTCTTTAGATCTAACTTCCAGGAGGCAGGAAATACTGAGAAAGAAATATGTTGAGGACACCACAAAAAAGCCATAAGACAAATCCAGAAGGCAGCCTGCTTTTTTCAACGCACAATGCCATTCCAAAAAAGGAAGAAGGGGGAGAAGGAGGCCCTTCTAGGGTAAAAATTCTGCAATAGATGGAATGTAGATACACTGATTGCCTCTTGGTCTAGGTAAGTTCAGCCACGAAAGCTGTTTTAGGATCTGATAAGGAAATCCGAGCCTGGGTTGGTTATGAATTAGCAATTTTATTGGCTTTATTTAGTTATATGTGAAGTGTTATTCTGACAATGCAGGAGAATGTCCTTTAAAAATGAACTGGATAGTGAAATATTTAGGGGTGAAATGTATCTGATTTTAAAACTCTCTGTATGCACTAGAGAAAATGAATCAAGATAAGCCAGCTGCTAACGATCATTAAGCACAGAAGAAGCAAGGCTGTTTCCTTAGACTCGTTTCTCTGCCATATGTTAAGCCGTTCTTTAGCCCCCCACCCTCCAAATAAACAGCCAATCGGGAAAATAGGAATGGAAAGTTGCTTCTCTTCAAGAAAAGAAGGGTCAATTTTATCATTTTACCAAGGTGAAGTCCTAGGTGGCCTGGTTGGGGTTTCCGAAGGCGGGAACGAAGCCCCAGGGGCCCACAGACATTGGACCACCTGTGCACCTCGCAGATCTGCCCCTGCACACCGCACCTACTCAGGCCCTCTGCTTGTATGTATAACCGGTCACCGCTGACACACCACGAGGGGTCAGAGTTTTGACTAACTCCGGGAGAAGGCGGTCCAATGTCCAGAACTGAGCCCAGTGTGTGTGTGTGTGTGTGTGTGTGTGTGTGTGTGTGTGTGTGTGTG